TCCTCATCCCTGCTTCAATGACCGCTTCTACCCTCATTTCCAGTGAGCAACCTTTTCTTCGTTAAATCCGTCTTTAAAGTTGGTTCAATGACTCTATTGACATCGACCAGGCGATAGCCGTATTGATCATACGAAGGGAATCGTATCAATGCCAATAGGGAAGGATCGTAGCCAGGGTGAATATCGGTCGAGGAAATCCTCGACAGGGGGGTCGTACCTGTTGGGCTGGTCCATGGGGGGTCGTACTCTTGGGGTCAGTAACAGAAGTGGTATCATGGTGCAGATAGGTAATAGGGTATAGCGCAGCAGAAAATGAAAACATCCGAAAAAAACATGATATTAAATTTTCTTTGCAGGTTCAGTCGCTCCATTCCTCCACCTTCATGAGAAGGGCGTATTTGAAGGCAGTACAAAGAATGAAAGTGCATCCCCGCAAAGAAGAGTGCCACATGTGCGCACGCGCTGCAAAGGCACCTCCTCCGCCTATCACTCGCTCCTTCTCCCTTAATACCTCGCTGAGAATGACGCTGTTGTTAGGGACCCTGTCGGAAAAACGACAACCGTGAAGAAAAAGCGCTGGGCAAATGAAGTTGTTTTTTAGGTTACAGGAATAGCACAACACACTATGTCTACTACAATACAGTTTCGTTCGAAGGTCCCCATCATATAACACCTTTCAATCGATTCTGCAACTGTGAGTGGAGGAGGGATGCATGGCTTATACCAATACCAAATCGGATGATGACGATTGCTCCTATTCTTATTGTTTGCGTTCAAAGATATTGTTCTAGACACATTCCGAGTGTTGCCAACGAGTCACACTTGCAATGGTGAATGAGGGAGCGGATTTCCAGGTGGCCGGATCCGACCTCGATAGATCCTCGACGCAATTATCTCTTCAACCAAAAAGCTGTAGAAGAAAACTAAACAGACCATCAGGAAGCGCAAACCTTCCGCTTTCCAAAACTATCTTCCCTTTTTCAGGATCTTACAATATAAGAGATATATTGCTCTTGAAGTGGCAAAAACTCGCGTGAAAATTTCGGCCTCCTCGACATTTACTCGACGAAATTTGACAGACCCTATCTTTCTGCAAGGAAGGCTTCCAGAGCAATTTCGATGCTTGTTGGAAACGCGAAATCCAGCTCTATCTAACTCTACCTCAAGCTGCTTCAAAGGTTGTGAAATGGAGGAATGCAACCTTTTCATCGAGGGTGTAGATTCGGACGTTTTTTTTTGAAATTTCGGCAAATCTGACCCAGTGACAATCGCGCCGCAGCTGCCGTTGAATCGGCCTTTGATACACTCGGCTGTTTTGATATACTCAAGCAAGAATCAAGATTGAATCGCAACCCCGTGTCTTCAGGATTTCTGTGCGTTTCTGAACGAACCTCGCCTTGAGGTCACACAAAGTTAATGCCTCTTTCCTCGAGTCGATATTTCAGTATGTACACAAAAGTATGCAGCGATGGAAGACGTGCATAGATGACAAGATGAAGCGTCCTTAGCATTATTTTGCAGAATTTTTTTTGATTTGTTTTGCAGGATTTATTTTAATTGAATTAATTTGCTCTGTTAGAGGGGGTCGTGCCAGGATCTCGATTTCGGGGGGGGGGTCGTACCTCTGCGACCACGTACTCGACACGATTTTCACCCTGCTTCGGCCATATCTTCGATGCGATGTAGCTCCCTAAATAGCACGGTTTACACGGTCCGCGCTGGCCCTGCAGACGCTGCGTCTGTCGCAAAAAGTCTGACGTCACCTAAGGTGACACAAATTCCTTTAGATATGTCCAATGCCTTACCCTTCTCACAAGCTTGCCCATTATTCCAAGAGGATCCTGATCAATGGCGATGACGTCACGGTTCAACAGAATATCTCTGAATTCTTGTTTCAGCACTCGCAAGTCGTTCGACATTATCAATGGTGCAGACCATATTACCTTAGCATGTTTCATAAGAATCATTAAACAAGTCCAAATTATTCGAAATCACAGCTAACATGTCGTGCTCGGTCGGGCTGCTGACAAGCGCACGGTCGAGGGCAATCCTGGATCGCCATCATCGTGGCAATCCAAGCCTTCCATTCCTCCGGGGACGGTTAGCTCGTAGCAGACTTGTACGCAGGGATAGAAGTACTGACCGATACATAGGCTGGTCCTCGCAAGTCAATGTATATGTAAGCTTCGCTTTTAAGCCATTCTGAGTGGACGTAGAATGCGTGGCGCGGACCACAGAGGGACTGATAAATCCAAAATGCTCTGTCCCTTTTACAGCCAAGGCAATCACAGGATGCATGTCCAGTTCTCAGGGGCTTGCATTGAACTAACTACCCACAGGAAGAGCTGCGCTCATTTTTTAGCAGTTCCGAAGAAAGGGGAAACATAGTTTAGTTCGCTGACGTATCACCTAGAAAACTTCCTTGTGGAAATTGCGATGGTCACTCAGAAGGACTTACTGAACATCATTTCAAAGCCAACATTTTGAAACCTTAAAATCGTAATTAATAATCACCATCTACTATGATCACTATATCAGGAAGGTGTCATAGAAATTAACAACGACAACATATTTCATCATTTTTTCTTGGTAGTAAATGTTGATCACACATCACTCAATGCGCAGATCACCGAGGAGGTCTCTGTTTCCGGCTTGACGGCACGCTTAGGCCGACGTCATACTTTGCGATTCGATTAGCGATTCGCTCGATTCGCTAGCGATTCGCTAGCGAATCGAGCGAATCGCTAATCGAATCGCAAAGTATGACGTCGGCCTTACATTAGGGCCAAGCGTGAGTAGTGGTGTTTGCCAGTAATGAAGGATGGGTCTGTGGAAATTTGCCTGTGTTGTGGCCAGCGATAGTGTATGTCTTCACCGCCTATTCACCACAGCGATGACTACAACTACACTCCTATGATATAACAATTTGAGCAGCCTGTTTCACAGGCTTAGACAGTCGCAATACACACAGAGGGATGTAGTTCTCAAAGGCCATGCCCCAGGGTCACACAGGTGTAGAAAAATTTGTAGCTAGCAGCTTACTACTCTGCGAGGCCCAAGCGCTCTTGTCGGTTGGTTTCCGTGCACAGGAACGCCACATTGTGAGTCCTCTGGGGTCAATACTGCGGACCGAAGAGCGTGTACCGACTATGCTCGGGTTATACCTTTAAATTCGTGAATGTTCGAATGAAGTTCTCGAACAGTTCAATGTTAATAATATGCTATTTGCTAGAATGGGGAGAATTGGTAGGGACCAATGAGCTCACGTGAATTTAGCTCAACCACTAACAAACAAGCTACCTACCAGATTGTCATTTGTACCATGGCTTGATCCAGGGTCACATTTGGCAAACCTACAACGAGTGAATAACACTTTCGGTTCGTGAGTTGTGCTTGACATTATCGGTGTGTTCGGCAGCGAAGGCTGTTTGTAGATCACCATGTCGGGATCATTCCATCCACACGGACCCTGCGCCGCTGCAAACATATCCTGGTTTTCGTTTACAAACCGAATGATGTCAGAGATCGAGTTCCAATTTCCGGCCACGTCTTCGTAGATTCGCCACGAGTTGCACGCCGCTCGCACGGCAGAAGTTCTATTTATAAAGTCAATACGAAGGTTTTATTCTTTCTATTGATTCAGCGTTGACTTCGTGAAAAGTCGAATGTGATCGCCTCATGTTACCACACCAACTGAGTCACTCCTGTTGTCAGCCTGTAGAGAGGTGGGAAAGGGTGACACTACGTGCTCATGAAAAACATGTTTGCTTTGAAAGCAGAGGTCGCGAATCAAATGTGCATATATTTGTCAGAATAAAAGGCAAGCAAATGAGCGAAATAGAACGTAGTGGTGAAAAAGCGAACACCATGGAATAATCATGAACTTTTCCGTACAGTCGACCGTGGCACCACGGGGGGTGGCTGCACTGCGAGGAGGGGAAAACGCGAGGGAACACGTTTTGCGCGAGATAGCCCAGACGCCACGTGTGTTGCGTTGACTAAGAATTGCAGCGATCGCACGCTGTCAGCGAGGCAATTAGCTTCACTGTCACGTATCCTTCGAGTCTTGATAATACCAAGCGCACCTCTCGCTGGAATTAAGGGAATGGCCTAACTAAATATACATAAAGTTTCGGGCACTATTGAGCTATTACAACCCCAGAGGGGGTGAGATGGATCAAAAAAAATTTTTCGCTGAAACTTGCGCTAGGGGGGTTATCGAGGCTCCTGATCACGAATATGACCTTAGTTTTTGGCGCTGGCGCCAAATTGGCGCCATTTGGCGCCAATTGGCGCCAAGGGTGTTCTCACCAAATTCGCTGTAAACTTGTGGATAGGGGTTATCGAGGCTCCTGATCACGAATATGACCTTAGTTTTGGCTCAATTTCTCTAGGTGACGCTCGAAATAGATGTCATCTAGGCGCTCATCCAGTAAGGGGGGCATCAAGTGGCTGCCCTCACCCCCCACCCCCTAGACTGCCTACACTCCCCCTGGCACACAGGTTTCTCGAAGTACGGGACCCCGTGAGCCAGGGGGAGTGAAGCCAGTTCAGGGGGTGGGGGGTGAGGGCAGCCACTTGATGCCCCCCTTACTGGATGAGCGCCTAGATGACATCTATTTCGAGCGTCACCTAGAGAAATTGAGCCAAAACTAAGGTCATATTCGTGATCAGGAGCCTCGATAACCCCTATCCACAAGTTTACAGCGAATTTGGTGAGAACACCCTTGGCGCCAATTGGCGCCAAATGGCGCCAATTTGGCGCCAGCGCCAAAAACTAAGGTCATATTCGTGATCAGGAGCCTCGATAACCCCCCTAGCGCAAGTTTCAGCGAAAAAATTTTTTGATCCATCTCACCCCCTCTGGGGTTGTAATAGCTCAATAGTGCCCTTTTTAAAATCTGAATCGTTGACCGTGCTTCAGCAGGGGATAAGCGAATATAAAATTTGCACATGGTGTATATCCCACTCTAATTAACATCTCAAGCGGATCAATTAAAGTACCGTGTGGTAGTTCCACCTCACCATGAAACTGGGGATGAGAAGTGGACGAGAAATAAGAAAAAAGGAAGTCGTAAGACTAGGAAAAATACTCGTCTCCAGATTCTTTATTTCATTCCCATCCATTTAAATTGTGATGATGGAAGTGCTAGGTATCGAGCTATTACGCTTGCGTTGAAAGGTGGATTGTCAGCTAGAAATTCTTATCACCATCTTTTGATTAAGAGAACGTATTCCTCCTGGTTTTGTGGAACAAAGGCGTGCATTTGGTCACTTTTATGACCCTCACACACTGTGCGGAATCCGCTATCATTCCACATGCGATGAAGGACAAAAGGCCGAATCTCTATAAGAAATTGCTACGTACCTTGTCTTTTTTACCTGCTTTGTAGAAGAAGAAAAGGCCAACCACAAGCGTAGACAATAGGGCGACCAGTGCCATTCAAAGCACGCTCCATTTTTGGGTAACCTAAGCCAACAATATTTATGGGGAGGGGTCCAACACATCCAAGTTGTTAATTTTTGACCATTAGAGACTGAGTTAAAGGAAAAGCTGCTCATCAAGCCCCAGTACTACTTATCTATAAATTTAGACACCCAAACACTGAAGACCTTATTAGCTTCCGTTCGGCTTTTTTTTCTGAGCGGACCAACGTCTAGAGAAAGTTTGGTTTAAAGGACGAATTTACGATGGAAAAGCAACCCATTCCAAATTGAGGTAGAGATGGTGAGTAGTACCAGAAAGAAAGCGAAACCACGAAAAACGGCCCAGAACCGGAGAAATGGGACCCCTTCCTTGTCCGTTGATTTGAGCATTGATGCGACTCTCATCGCTTTGCCCTCTTCAACCCTACGCTCTCTCAGCTATCTAATCACTCGCCACCTATTGTACTACGGCGAGTGATCAGACGATCGGTGGGCGGAGATCGCCGAACTCGCCAACTTTGAGCCATGCTAGATCTCAGAGGTCAAATCTTTCGATGCCGATTGCGTGTCTGTCCGCACCCTCAAGAGATTCACCGCTCTCCCCACTAGGCGATTTCTCCCTTCTTCGACCTTCGTTCTTTCCGTGCAATCCTCCTTTAAATCACTTCCTGGCTGATAGGTGAATCCAACAAGCGTCTCCCAAGTCACATCTAGTCTCAACTCTCATCTATAACCTATCACCTCTATATCTCAACTAAAATATAACTGGCCTTAGTTTTCCCAAAATGTTGCAAAGCGGAGCGGAAGATGGAGGAGGGCGAGAAGGAAGTGAATATTGCACAATCAAGAAAGCAAAATCCTGGAAAACTCCTCCGAACCCAAAAAGCTCGATGCGCCGTGAAGCAGGCTCCATAAATCGCCTACAACGGTTTGAAACTTTGAAGGAATCCTTCGCGGAAAAATCATGCTTTTATTTGGGCCATAAATCACTGGCTTGAGACTCATTATCCACGATAAGAATGAAAGAACAGAAATATTGCTTTCGTTTTGGTAAAAAATTCGAAAAATCGAAAGGGCTGCTACGCGTTCAAAGTGCCCACGGACGTCTTTCACAAATGCTGGCGACGGGGATGCTTCCACTTGGTTCTTAGGAAGTCTTTCAGGACATGGAGCGCTTTTTTCAAATGGATTCTGCATGTTGTAGAGGCTCATGCGAGGAACACAAAACCATGGTTCATTTTTCCTGAACGCCCCCAGGAATGTCAAAACAGTGGCAAAGAAATGGTCCAAGTTCGATCCCGGTGATGACTAATTTTTGCAATGTAGTTTAAAACGAACCCAGATTACCTGATAGCGCCATCGTCAAGAATATGTGTCATTGTCGTGTTTGCGGGCAATTTGGAGGCGCCAACATGAATTGCAAAAATTAGTCATCACCGGGGATCGAACTCTGGACCATTTCTTCACCACTGTTTTGACATTCCTGGAGGCGTTCAGGAAAAATGGATCATGGTTCTGTGTTCCTCGCATGAGCCCTACAACATGCAGAAAACCATTTCGAAAAAGCGCTCCATGTCTGGAAAGACCATCCTGTAGATGCCATCGCTAAACTCTGCCTGGCTTTCGCTTTATTGCATCACTTTTACACTTCGTACTCTCTCAACCGCTACCGATGTTTGCCTCTATCTCCAAAAATCGACACTTACCCGGATTCCGCTCGCCTGATACGCAGTCGCTTTGAACACCAACTCTTTCCATGTCTGTTTGGGACCCCCCCCCACCTTCGAAAGCAGGGTCAACCGTTACGTTGGACCGATATTGGAGCGACGTTGGACCGATGTTGACCGCTCTCCGCGCCGGCATTCACTCTCGCCACCCGCGAGCCGTCTGTGTCTCCGTGCGTACGTTCACTCTCGGCATTACTCTCGTCGTCGCGTTGGACTTTGTCCAACGGACGTTGACCCTGCTTCGATGTCCATAACGTGTAGTTTTTGGACGTTTGTTTCTCTTCGGAAACCGAATCTTCATGCGTGAAACTTTGTGTGCTGTTTCCAGTGATCACAACTGACACATCCATGTCAAGAAAGAATGCAAGAATTTTCCGCGAAGGATTCCTTTAATCTAGCCGCTCCAAAATACGCTCTCAATTTCATTGAATTCTACCCCACTCCCTTCCACAGAGGGTTAGATATATCGACCTCGACGTTTAAGTCCTCTAATCACTACTTCTACCTGTGTTACATTACGTGCTGTCACACATAAACCTTCTCTTGTCACTCGTACAAGCTTCAAATAGACCACTTGATTTGCGAAATTCTCCAGCAATCTGCAGTACTTAATTGACCTTCACACGCAGGTCTTACTTCAGACGGCAAACCCCTCACTGTAAGGCTGTGGGAAGGGGGTTATTGCGCTTGATTGTGAACGTAGTCGTGGCAATTGACGTTCCCGTAATGGAAAGGAGAAAAACAGTTCAGGGCAGTGATCACGATAGCTGGAGTGCGGTGCGGTTTCTGGTTGGCGTTATTTAAAGCAACAGTCCAGGCAGGGTTTCAACCATTTGGTTTTCAAGTGGTGGAAACATGCCTCAGCCTGATTGGAGTTCATGGGAAATGTCACAAACTTCAAAACTTACCTCTGAAAGGCGTTGGAAGCAGTCGAAATCCTTCAAGAGGGCGGATCCACCAATCTTTTAAGGGGCGGATCCACCGATCCGTGGTGGGGCCGCCTCCAAGCAGCTGTGCAGAGCGCTTGCTCGACTAGCGGTCGTTGCGGGACCGCCGCGCTGTATGAGGTCGATTCCATAAGAACGCAATTGAAGCGCTTCAATTTCGATTGCTGGCAAATAGTTATGTATTTGCAAGCATGCAGCTATTTGCCAGCAGTTGCAATTGGAGCGCATGTACTACGGGCAGGTTCGGACAACTCGTCCAACACACGTCTCCCTAAACGGCAGGGGGAGTCCCTGTCTAAGCCCCTGCCCGACGTTTTTTTCTACTTTTTCTTTCTCCATTGACCAACTTCTCACCTGCAACGTCATTATAGGTGGTCCTTACCCGCGAATTCGTTCCTGGATTGTTGCTTTAAATCAATTGGTGGAGGTTTAGAAGAGGGTGCTATTCAATCACACTCCACACTCATCGCTCCAGTGCTCTAAGTTACACCAATGATGATCCATAGCGCCATCAAAACCGCATCGCTTTCGCCCGAAAGGGAATGCCACTAGTGAAGGGTGAACCTTTCCTATTGATATGCCGGGATGCGGTAAAGTACGGTAAAACGACGGGGTCATCCAAAAACTCCAGCGTACGGATCCGACGTGAAGTGCGAAGACCGCCCACATGATTAAGACGCTTTGCGATTTTAAGGGTTCCTAACAATTTTTCTCTCTTCTTGCTGATGGACCAATTCCCGCAACTACGTTTATTTCGAAGCGCAATAACCTAAGCTTTTAGTCGTGGAATCTACATTTGAATCTACATCTGACATTTGTTCCTACAACCTTTTCCCCATGGTGAAAACCAGAGGAAACGAAATATGATAATTTTCTTTCTTCAGGGAACTTTTCGGGGAAAATTCACTCAAAGCTTACCAATAGGCATAAGTGTAGTGTTGACATTGCATCCATCCAACTTCAGATAGTCCACATCCCATGAGGCGAACGTTTCGGCATCGATCTGAAAAGATGTGAATAAAACTAACGTCCTACCATCAAGACCATGCAGGGTGGGTGACACTTGCTATATAGCACCGAGAATATGAAAAGTGACTTTGTTCGTGGAAGCTGGAGTGCTAGGGCATAGATTTGAAGGCATAGCCAGAAGTTTAGAAGCTATTCACATACGTAGTGGATAATTCGTTCTGGCGGCTCTATAGGCGCAAAAGGGCTCTAGGGTATTCAACGTTCGCTTCGACCGCTTCCATATTTCTCATCCGCAACATGCTGGTGTCTGGGCTCTCTCGTTCTGCCATGCTCTCATGCCTCTCTTCTCTGCGGTAAATCTCTCATTGCCCAACCACAAATGTGAGCAACCCTCAATCTTTGAGTTCTTGAAGGATCTTTCCCTCATTTCCTTGCTGGAGGCTCGCAACGATGCTTTCACTCTCGCATACAAAATTGAACCTGAGGTGTGCCCCCGAATACCAGCTCCAACACACCTTAGTTTCGAGGTAGGATTCAGGTCCAGTGGACGCTCTGAAGTTCACCACACAAGCCTATAGCGCTTCTATCACTCAATTTCGAGCTACGAAATCAGCGTAAGCTCTGCGGTTATGTTGTGGTCAAAAGTTTCGCCGAGACGTTTTCTCAATCAAATTTCCCCTCTTCAAAAAGGCCTGCAAGTTTTGATGGAGAATTTTTTCAGGACGCCTTGAATCTTCAGAAATCGATGGTTCGGAACTACCAGGAGACACAAGTCATCAATACTGTAAGGGAACTAGTTAGGGAATAAAGAGTAATGTACGAAAATCGCTTCGGCGAATACTTTTGATCGCTACTGTGGGTTAGTCTGCCAGATCTGCCCAATGTCCGCATAGAGCCAAAATCCAAGCCAGAAATGGGTTGGTTGGAGTACTTCAGCATTTCCAACAGTTGCCGATTTTTTTTTCGAAAGCTTCTTTTCTCGAATTCTTCATAAAGTTTTTAAAGGACGAATTCACGATGAAAAGCAACCCATTTCAAATTAACCTAGGGATGGTGAGTGGTACACGAAAGAAGGAAGAACCATGAGAAACGGCCCAGAACCCGAGAAATGGGACCCCTTCCTTGCCCGTTGATTTGAGCATTGATGCGACTCTCATCGCTGTGCCCTCTTCAACACTACGCTCTCTCAGCTATCTAATCACTCGCCACGTATTGAACTACGGCGAGTGATCAGATGATCGGTGGGCGGAGATCGCCGGACCCGCCAGCTTTGAGGCATGATAGGTCGCCGAGGTCAAATTTTTCCATGCGAATTGCGCGTCAGTTCGCACCCTCAGGAGGTCCGTGGGTCCCTCAACTAGGTCAGTTTTCCCTTTCTTCGACCTTCATTCTAATCGTGAATTCCTCCTTTAAAGGAATACCTGCAGATGGTTTAAACTTCCGGGATATCCTTCGCATGTCTCCGTTCCATAGTCTTCATAGATTCCAAGTTGTAAACCTTTGTCGTGCATCTGAAGCAACATATCTTAAGCTCCTGTTCGAGTACAAGAAATGTATAATAAAAATAAAGGTGGCTGGAAGACGGAATTGTTTTGGGCTTCTGGGCACGTTATGGGAGAAGGTTTTACCATGCTCCTTATCATGAATGCTAACGCTAGGAGTGTAACCCTCGCCAATTGACGTTTCCAACTCGAGTCCACTCCTCAGCCATCGTAGTCACTCCTGTCAACTGTGACACATACCCTACTGTATTCGGAGGTGAGGTACATGTCTCTGAGGATTCACAACATAAACGACAACGGCTTCGGAATATATAAGTTTTTGTGATAAAGAACAATTAGCCGGTTATCAGATCTACTTGAAACGCCGTTACTTGTGTTGTGCGTCAAGCCCGTCATGCAGAATATCCTAACCACCGGGCACAAAGGCTATTCGGCTCCCAAAAATATTCCTAGATTAAGTTCAAGGCACTTCCGACTCATATTGCTCTCATCTGCGAGCGATACCAATAACGAATTTGTCTTGCCTTTATTATTGTGGCCAGATGTCAGGCTTTGCAGACAAACGCTACCAAAGACGGATGTGCTAGTGACCCGAGCAATTCTTCGGCCTCTGTCTTGAAGGAGCCTGCATGCATAGAAGTCCCTCGGTATCACTCCTTATCCTCTGAGACATCGGACTAGGCAGCTCTTCTCGGACAAACATAGTTGTCGAGGACAATCGTGTCGCTCTTTTGAAGCTTCGATTGTAACTCTGAGACCGACGTCACACTCGGCGACGGACAAGCGATGGAGCGATCGCGATCGCTCCATTTCAAGGGAGTAGCACATTATCGATTGCTTTTGATTGGTTCTATTGATCGCAAAGGTGTAGTATTTCTCTGCTTCATCGAAGAATTCATTTTTCCAGTGGCGATAGCAGAAACGAGGATAGTGTCGCGAGCAAAATTTACTCTACAGACCGAAGAAAGGGTGAGCATTCCGAGACCAAGAACGTGGAGAGTCAACGCGAGATCTCTCGACCCACACGAAACATAAAAGGGCATTTTCAAGCCTGCTTAAAACCCCTCACTGTTTCCTTCTTTGTGCCAAAAAGCCATCAATAAAAACAAAATTGTGCCTATACAATTAGAGTTGGGACACGCCTCTTTTTTAGATCATAAGTGTACTATGTAAGTGGGACTGCTGCCCGCTACTATACTGCCACGAGAATCGTGGAATTCGTGAGCCAAGATGCCGGCGTGCCCACCCCTCTTGTATAGAGCCACAAAGTCGCATTGGAAGCGCAATAAAAGTATGGCTTACATATTTGGACAATTTCTTAATTCCGCTCGGGAAACGCTGATGGTCCGCCACCAGTCGACCTGCTTTGTCCCTCTCCTTTTCCATCCAAACAGTCGTCAATGTGAACACGATTGTAGCCAGCGGCCAAGAACCCGTCCGTAACTGAAAATATAGCTTCAATTTTTTTCTACCATTTCGCTTAAAACGGCTCAAATGAGGTCAACCAAAGAACAGCTCAAAACGAGGTTGGGGGATCAATAACGGACATCGGCTGAATGACGCATTCTACCTAATTCAACCCCAGTGACCACACTGAGCACTGAAGAGCGCATTCCACACTATCAGCAAACAACTTCATTATAGCTTTCTACCGACGACGCCAGATTTTCCACGGGTTTATGATGCACGGTATGGACTCAATAAGGTTCTCGACAGATTGTAGGCGTAATAACTTCGTATAGCATACATTATACGAAAGGTCTGCTTTAGCCAGGAGCACTTACTGGTCCCTGAAAGTTAACTGGTCTTAAAGCAACAGTCCTAACATGGTGGGCATGTCAATATGGACACGATTGTAGCCTGCGGCCAAGAACCCGTGAACAGCTACAAAACTATAGCTTTATTTTTTACCGCTGATTCTGCTCAAAACAAACTAATGAGGTCAACTAAGGAACAGCTTAAGTTTGGGAATCAATGCCCAATGTTCGGCTGATTAGTGTTCCGACACCCAATGATCCCAACTGTTCTACGAAGCGAGCACATTCCACTCTGTGTGAGCAAGAAACTTCATAAATAGCCTGCTAGACGACACTAGAACAATTTCCCACGGAGTGAGGTTCTCGACGGATCGTGGGCCATCACAACCTTATCTCAAACGCTATCCGGATACAGTCCAGTGTAGTCAGCGGTACTGTCCCTAAGGCCGATGTCAGACTTTGCGAATCGCGCGATTCGCTAGCGTCTGCGGTCGCGTCGCGGCCAGTGAATCACTCAATTGGCTGGTACCGCAACGCGACCGCGGACGCTAGCGAATCGCGCGAATCGCTAGTAGCGAATCGCGCGATTCGCAAAGTCTGACATCGGCCTTAGAAGCTATCCATTGGTGAAGCGACTGAAGAAATTGTGTAGCAGCTTCACGCTGTAGCTATTACGGTAGGCCTCCTTGAGCTCGACGTTTATAGCAGATGACGTCATATTTTGAAGACCATGAGCGCATTGAAGTATATCCTGATTCTGCTTATGGGGGACATCTAAGGAATATTTTGCCGTATAACTCCAATAACAGCGGCGCTCTGCGACGAAAAGTTTGATGTGGTGCTTCATGGGCAAAGTGACTCCTATTTTGCCCCTCCCCCCTATATATACAAATAGGAACTAAAAACCAATTTCTTACGACACTTTTGACTTACCCATTCGATCGGCCATGTCCTGGTAGAGTTTCTCATTTATGCAGTGATCTGGGTGCGATTCGCAGTCGATTTGGCAGTAAAATGCTGCCCACGACATCCAACCCATGGGTGGTGTCCTAAGAAAGCAATTTCACCTCCTTCGTTGTATGCTGGATCCGTAATTCAAATTGAATTCTAAACTTACCTGGCCAATCCATTATCTAAAGAAGATGTCACATGTAATGTCATCAGGAGTAAGGCGTAAGTTATCGAAGTCATCCTGAAATAAGTGAACCATTCTGACCAATTCCATGGAAGTTAAGATCGTATGCTTTTCAACTTCCAGAACTGAAGGTGTTTCTAAAGGCATGCCCCAGGATCACATTGGTGTGGCTCTTGTACACGAATGCGAATGTATTGGTGCGAAGTGGGCCGGCAGTAAGAAAAAAGGAAAAGAATCCGTCGAAAACGCTTAGGTTAAGGGCTCACTCACCTTCCTAATCGGCTGTGCTAAGGGAATGAGAGACTAAGCGCGGAGAGGAGAGTATGAGGCGAGAGAGCGCTACAGATGAGAGAGCGCCAGACAACAGCCTGATAAAGAAAAAATCTGCAGCTTAGCTTACTTTGCAAGGCCCAAGCGCTCTTGTCGGTTGGTTTCCGTGCACGGGAACGCCACATTGTGATTGTCCTCTAGGGGTCTATCCTACAGACCGAAGGGAATCGTTCACACGACTTCTGCCTGGGTTGTGCTTTCAACAGAAGGAATGACTACCTACGTATCCCTCTCGCGGAGCGTGTGGGGATTCATTGAACCACCTTAGCACGCGAGGACGTATGGAGACGTTATTGGCGTTCGCTCAAGGGAGATTGGGAGGATAGTAGATACAGGTAATACTATC